GGAGCGCCACATGAGGACAAAGAGATCCGATTAGACAAATCCATAAGATGAACAGATATGAGGAGTGAGAGAAACACATGAAGGGTCTGAACCGACTGACCCGGAAGATCAGCATGCATCGGTAACAGATAACAAAACGGCTCAGCAAGTAAAAATAGACAGAAGATAAAAATGTTTATTCATCTTTATTCTTAATCTATGGTGAATCAGTCGTGACTCAAAGACTGAACACCTAAATGTGGTGAAATAATTTCATTTCTGGTCATCAAACAGGCTAAAATAATCTAAACTGACCTGATTCTCTGCGGAAAACTCGTTCCTTCCAATTTCTAAGAATTGGTTTGACAGCAATAACTGCGGTCAAGCTTTTCCAATAACTAGATACTGAAGTCTTTTCCTCCCCTGTGACTGAACTTTGGCCTGTTTCTCTTTGCAGAATTACTTAATTCCAACCCTTCTGACGGTTTTTGACCATTCCGTGACCTTTGTGGTTCAGCAAACATCGGCTGGACTTTACCTAGTCGTTCGCTGAACATTAAATGGCGTTTCGTTTTGATGTTTGGTGAACATTGTCTGCAAAGTGAACGTTTGCAGATGACGTTCACCAAACATCAAAATGAAGCACCAATAAACTTGTTTTATAGGATTCCAATGGACTTTACTGACATGTTCGCTGAACGCTCGGCAAACATTCAATGGTGTTTTGCTTTGACGTTCAGCGACCTTTGCAAATATTTACCGAACATTTGTAGACAACGTTCGCCAAGCCTCAAGATGAAACACCGTTAAACGTTGAGAGAAACGCTGGCTGGACTTTACCTCGATGTCCGCTGAACATTAGATGGTGTTTAATTTTTGATTTTTGGCCAAAGTTGTCTGGAAACGTTTGCTGAACGTTCATGGCAACATCTGTTGACCATCCACCAAACATATCATGGTGTTTTGTTTTGATCAAATATTGTCCGCTGGCATTTTGTAAACGATTCACTGATCAAAACATTAAGCAATCTGTGAACGTTGGCTTGTCTTTATCCAGATGTTCACTGAACGTCCACCAAACATTTATTGGTGTTTTCTTTTACGTTCAGCAAATGTCGTCTGCAAATGTTAAATTCCAGATGAGAATAACCTGTTTCAGGTCACCCACCATTTTCAGTCAGATATATTTGGTGTTTTATCCATTAAGTGTTTTAAAGCGAGACTCAAGTATTTGTGAATTTCAGCAATTAAACGGCAGTGTTTAACAACGGAACCTTGACTTCTTCAACTTTTGTTTTAGTAAGACTCATTAAAATGTGTTTTCAAACATTTTTAAAACAGTACAATTTATTATATCTAGCTATATACATATATAGGTTCATTATATAAGTTGAAGTGAAACTATCCCTTTAAAAGCTACCGATTCTTCTCAGCCTCGTCTCGGTTCTGAAGACTCTAACTGAGCAGCAGATGAAACATGAAGATGGCTTTGAGATTTGATGGATCTGCTTCAGACCACATTACTGAGACCCCCGGGTTGTCAGCGCATGAATAACGAGATAACTCACACACATGTTGTGGCGCCGTCGTTCTGTTGAACACCTTGGAAAATATGCAGAGGGAAGATTCACATCAGAGGAGGAGAGCAGGAAAACGCTGTAGGATTGGAGTGGGACACGTTGGATTTGCCTGCTGTTATTTCTCTACACATCGTTCTTCCTGAGCAAGTGAAACTTACGGAAGCACTTAACTGCCAAATCTTGTAAAAACAAGTACACTCTCGTTTCATCGAGATTAAAAAAACCTTGCAAAACAAGAAATTTGTCCTATTTTAATGACATAAAAATGTTAAAACAAGAAAACTTTGTTTAAATAAAATCTATATTTCCTTAAAATCAAAATCTTTCAAATAATAAATGTCATAATGCTAAAACTAGGATTTTTAAATGTGGTTTTGGAAAAAAACGCAGTGAGAAGAAGGAATCTGTCAAGATAGTGTATTTTTAGATCTAGTTCGAACATGAAAGTTACTCACTTTGACAAGATACTGTTCCTGAATTTATTTTGAATTTTGGCAGCGATATGCTTCCATAGTGACCGACCTGCAATGTGAACATAACATATAATTATTTTTTTTTGTCAATCTCTACCAATTTAATTTTGGTCTAGTTTTTAGTGTAAATATCTTGGTGCACTTGGAATAAAACAAAACTAACTTACAAGCATTTTCTCAAATATTAGCCCGTTTTCAATCAGGAATTATTGAATATTGATTTTTTTTCACTCATATTTTCATAAATGAAATAATCTGCCTGTAGAACAAGTTGTTTAAAACTGGGAACTGTTGATGCTAACAGTAGCTTTGGGGACATTTATACTGCTGCAACATGTTTAGCATCGAAATGCTAGTTTAACTTAGCAAATATGCTAACTCCTTTTAGCACAACTTAAGTACTTAAGTCTTCTCCAGCATCCAATCAGGTCATTTTTTGAAGTATAAATTGACACAAGAGCCAAGACAAGAGGCTTTGTTGTTTGTCAATGTTTCCGAATGTCACTTGCGCGTCAGATTTATGGGTGTACCAGAAACATGCAAATACAAAGGTTCCAGTCCCTGAAAAGTCAGGAGCGCCTAAAAGTTTGACCTTTTGGTGCCTCCTGATTTTCTTGTTGTTGTTTTAGAGCACATCATCGTCCGGTAGAAACAGGAAATGCCAGACATGTTAACAACAGCAGGGTGAACATCGTAGAGAAGAGTACATGGATGCAAATTAAAATGTCGAAACTGAACAACTGACTGTTTACCCCAACAAACATTTGGAAAAGGAACTTGAAGGAGGAACTAAAATCTGAAGTCAGCAGGTTTTCAGAGTGATTATAATCTGACAACGGGCCGACTCATCCTTTCTAGAAATCTTTAGCACATGAATATTTTAAGAAAACTGCAAACAAAAGTGGTTCAACAATGGGTCAGAGCAAAGAAGCCAATTCATTGGAAATGTCTTGGAGTATTTCGTTATTTTCGATTCAGATAAATTCCTGTAAGAAATTCACTTTGTTTCATCGCAACTGCCATTTCCTTCAGGTAGTGAATCAGCTAAAAGCTGTTTTAACGGCTTTTAAGCAGATCTAGGAGCTAAAAACTGATATTGGTATCTTCCACATGTTTCTCTGTAGGTTTCTTCAGTAAAATTAAACTTCAATCTGGCGCCTCGTTTTAAGAGATCTGTATTGAAAATGACATGCTTGGAATCCTTTTTGTAATTTATTATCACTTTTTCAGGTAGAAAAATAAAATTTTTTCCAAGTAAATGTTATTTTACGTAATATTTTTGGTTGCGTAGTTAAGCCAATAAAACTTTCACAATTAGCTTTCCGTACTTTACTTGATTTTTTTTCCTGTAATTTAGTCGCTGAGCCAGAAACTAGAATCAATTAAAAAAATATCTTCAAATAAACAAAACCTGAAGAAAATATTCAACAGTTTGCACTTTTATTCCATTTTTAATCTGTAGGCATATCTCATTTATTAGTATTTTCATTAATTAGTGGTTTACTACATCAGAGTGTACAGTGTTTTTAATGTCACAAAAACAAACAGAAAGTAACATCTGCAGACAGAAGACTGGAAAAACAAATAGAAAAAGGACCAAATATTTTTTTTAACGCAAAAAATATCCAAAAACCCTCCAAGATGCGTAATGCTGTTAATCAGAAACAAGTGAAACATTGTTGCTTTACATGTGGGAAAATGTTTTTTTTTTTCAATGTAAACCATCAGTAAACAGTCCAAACACGCATTATTGCTGCTTGGTTGACTTAACAGCAACATACAGCAAAGGCACATTCAACACCCCGTTCCCTTTTGGAAAAGTAAAAAACAAACAAACAAAAACAGACTAAATATAATTAAACTTCTCGTAGAAATCCACAAAATGAGCCGCCACTTAGCAAAATCAGACAGAAAACAGAACAAAATGTTCTTCACGAAACAGAAAAACGTACATCTAGGTCTGAATCCCTTTCGAAAGCACACGCTGTTCGTTAATTCATTAAAGACGCTGCTGCATTTCCCAATAATATTGCACCCAAGTTCAACAACAACAAAAAAGGAAAAAAAGATTCTCATTAGTTTGAGAAACAATCTATCATGAAACTAAGATGTGCTTTAATTAGTGAACTGTGTGTATTCACACTTTGGCGTTATGGAAGACAGGACTGAGTGTGCTTGGCATTAGTTTAATGGTTCGACACAATGTAAAGCAGTTGCCAGGTTGGAGCATTAATAAGACCCAGTTATTTATAATTATTTATAAACAAACACCCTTTCTGTTCTGATCAAGTTTCACTGAAAGAATTGGGGGGGAAAAAGTTGCCAAGTTTGGACAACATCCCCCATTTTCTTTAGTTTTACATTTCTCAATTCTGGCACCAGTTCAAGTATTTGCAGGTTGTATGTTAGACGGTTTTCTGTGAAGTGGGGATGTTTGAGAGCCTTTTGTATAAATATCATCAGTCAAAGCAACCAAACTACAAAATTCACCAAATTTAGCAGCAATAAACAGAAACATATGTGTTTACAGAGAAATTATTCCTTCATAGAGAGCAAAAACATTTCTATTTTGTTATTTTGCTGTTGTTCTGTAAAAAGTGTAAGTTATCTAAAAGGTAGTTTTGAACATTTTGTCAGCATGAGATCACTTTTTTCAGAAGAATTTTTTTGGCTCTAATTGTGTTCCAAAGTTTTGCACATGGTTTCCCAACTTGTGTAAATTTAAGCTTCCTTCCTGTTGTCGTCCTAAAAAACCCCCAACTTTTGTAATTTACATTTCTTAAAACTGAATCTGAAGAGTAGTTTTGAACTTTTTTTTTATATCATTTTGGTTACAAATATTTTTAGAACTACTTTTTTTAAAATTTTTTATCTCCATAGAACTGGTTTCCCATATCCATAAACCAACTCCAGTATTTATACTGAAAACCTAACAAGGTAATGAGTTAATATTGAATTTTAGCTTTTTTGTACCTTTTGCTGCTATGTCAATGACCCGTTAATGCTAAAATGACAACAGTGTCAAGATTTTTTATTTTAATTTTAAAATGGTTGAATTCTACTTGGGTGTGATACTGACAGCTCATGATTGCTCCACAGAACCCCGCTTTTGAATAAATCTCTAATATCTCCAAAATTAGGTTGTTGTTCAGTCAAGATGAGATGTTGAGTGCTGATAATTGCGCCACACATTTGCTAATATTCCATAAACTAGGAAGTGTTTTCCAAACAAGGATTACTGAGACTGAATCTGGTAAGATAGTGACTGCTCATATTTAGGCCACAGAACCCAAATATTCCTTAAATTTAGATTTCCCCCCCCATTAAACTAATGTTTCTAGGCTTTTTACTGAACCCCACTTCGCAGAACCCAAACTACAGTCGTGTTAAAAAGAAAACACACCCAAAGGTGCACTTAGTTTCACAAAACGTTTCCATTTTGGTTCCATTTGTGTTTTTTTTTTAAAGTGATGTCTGCATTTGAATGTTAGACCATTTGTACATTTTGAACCAACAACCAGTGGGTGTCTTTTTTTTTATTTAATAAGACTGTATCCCTTTAAGAAAATATTGCAGTAACATTCTGTATTTACTGTGTCTTTTTTAGACTTTATCTCAGTGCTTCTCAGCAACCTAATATGACATCACAAACGGCGGAATAATCTCTCAGACGTACATTCAACTTGCTTCATCGTTGTGCTACAAGAAACGAAGACGAGCGAAGTGGAAGACGATAAAAGTCGCTTCTTAGACCGAGCTGTTCGGTCGGAAACATGGAAGCGTCTCAGGCTAAGTTTGGCGTTCATGGATCACTGGGCTCATGTGGAAGTCCTGAAAGGCCAAATGAGAATTGTTTTTTTACAACGTCTGACCAAATTTTTTGTTTTTTTATTGACCTTAAAAGTTGTAAAAGTACAACAAACAATCTAGAATGAAATATTGTCAATTGAAATTTTTTTTTCTCCAATTTGACCAAAAACAATCCATGATGAAAAAAAATCTTTGTTTTACTTTTCTCTTGACTTCTGAAGTTGAGAGAAGTCAAAAATTTGGACAGACTTTGAAAATGTTTTATTTTCTCATTTGGCCTTTCAGGACTTCCGTACATCTGGCACCATATGGAGAAATAAGTCAAACCTGACAGCATGGACGAAGTTCAGGAGCAGCACCTTTAGATTTGGCTCATAAATCTGCTGCTTCTCGACCAAAATAAAGGCTCAGCAGCTTTCTACGAGGATTTGCTAGCAGACGGCAGCTGTGTTAGCAACTATGGAGCAGGAGATCGGATGGAAATGAAAGCCAAAACGTCATGCTAGTTTTGATTTTTGGCCGAAGGAAGGCGCTCCTGACCAATCAGGAGGCTCCGTTTAGGCGTGATGCTGCGCGATGAGGTTGCGTAGCTGTTTGATGACGGTGTCGATGAGCTTCTGTCGGTCTCTGTCTGCCTTCTTGAACTGGGCGAGAACGACATTCTTCCTGCTCGTCTCCTTCATCCTGGAGGCAGAAAACGAGGACAGGAGATGGTTGGGGGGTGAAAGGTCAAAATGGGGTAAGAGGAGTGTCAGAAAATGCATCTGTAACAACTGTTCAACAGTCCTGTGAAAAACTATTTACCATTTGGGTTCCTAAAGACTTTCTGTTGTTCAAATTATGGGAAAATTATCACAGACAAATTAAAATCTTCTCGCAATAGAAGCAGGTTTTATGGTTTCTCCTGCAAGGTTTGCATCTGTCCTGTGATTTACCTCAAAAGCAGAAGCACCCAAATCTGCTTATGAGTAATTTAATAAAATTGACTAAATACAAGCCTTCAAAAAAAGATTGACTTAAACTGTGTTTCTATTGCTGAGAATAGATTAAATCGACCCTGAATTAAATTTGTAAAGTTATTAAATGAAGAAGCAATATAGGCATTTTGGAACTTCAATGATTTACTCTAACCCAATCCAACACAAGCTGAGTTCCAGCATGTTTGGTCAGCTGTTTTGTCCGTTGCATGCGCTGTACTTGACTTACCATCCAGAAACCACTTGCTACATTCTTATTATGTCGTGCAGGAGGCTCCACTTTTGCTTTTCAATGCTGTATGGTTGTATAATTTCAAATTCAATAGCGATTTTGTGCAAAAGAATGTAATGAACATGTTTTGGATTGCCTATACAGCTGTCCTAATCTGTTCAAGAAAGCATAATAGGTCAATTTTAAATTGATACAAAAACTTCTGACGCCCCTGGCAAAGGGAAAATACTTTTTGACAGTACTGTAAACCCTTTAAAAAACACACAGATATGCAATTGCATTCTGGATCTCCAGGAGGATTTGTCATACCTCATCTCTATTTGGGGTTTGCTCATTACATATTCGCGATCTTGAGCACATTTTTGGTGTAAAAACTTTCACAAACCATTAATTCACAAACTCTGATTAAAACTGTTTTCATGCAGGCTGAGTGTGAGAGAAGATGTGATTCAGATCAGTGTTACCACACAAGCTCAGATCTCTGCATCGTCAGCGATGGTTCAGATACGGAGCGATAAGGGCGGCGTTTTTGGAGAGATAAACCTCAATATCATCAACATATCGGCTGATTTTCCATTAACACAGAGAGTCCCTCAGGTGAGATTTCACACTCACGCTATTAAAACTGGTTAGGAGGGGTTCAAAGCCGCATGCCTACACTCAACATGACACACACGACCACACAGACGATACTCACGGCTTAAACAACCTGTCCGAACAGGAGGAGAAGGAACGACAGGAAACAGGAGTTCAGATGAAGATGATAAGCTGGGAATCATTTTCACATTGTGTTGTTTTTTTACATGTATGTGGGACAGAACTCACATTCCACTCTAAAACCACATTTTCTGGTTCTGGTCGGATTTCTGAATCAACAACATTTAATACATGTTTTCTTTGGCCTTTCAGCCTATTGATTACTGGGATCAGACGTCACACTGTGTGTGAAAGACAAACTGCTGTAAAGCAGGGTTGAGTGTGGAGTTAAATTATTTTTAAGGTTTTATGGATTAACATGGTTGTAGATGTCAGGCTAGTTGCCAACTTTGCTAATTGCCGTTTTAAAACAGCATTGCTATGCTAATATTGAAAAGTAGTGCTAATTTAGTTCCAACAAATGTTCACACATTTTTGGCAAAATGGATTTTATATTTTTTTAGCAAACAGAAAAAAAATGCTAGGTTGTTCCAAGCTGACTAGCAGTGCTCAGCAACTAGTTTTGAACTTTTTAGCCATCGTACATCCAGTAAATCCAGAAAATTAAAATTTTTTTTAGCAGTTTTTCTGTAAAAATGTTTTGGAAACTTGATAGCACGGCATATAGCAACAGCTATGCTAATCCTCTGCAGCAAACACAAACAGTCTGTGAAACCCAGAGTGACATGAAACATTACTCACTTCTCCAGCAGGGCCAGCGCAGTGTGTGGGTTGACTCGCAGGTATTTGCAGGTGGATTTCCCGTAGTCGGCCAGGTAAGTGGACCAATCCCACTGGGTGAAAAGATCCAGTAACTGAGCCAAAACATTGAGAAAGAGGAAGAGAGATTTAGAGACAATGACTCACAGATTCAAAGATCAGCTGAAGCCTGAGAACGTTGACACCAACGTCAACAACGCCGGCATGCGAAGGGCGACATGCTAACCAGCTTCAGGAGCAGGGAGCTATCATAACCAGAAATATAACCAGAAATATGGAAAGATTTATGGAGATTATTGAAATTAAGAGTGTTTTTATGAGAAGCTTTTCCACGAAGCAATGACAGAAAACTTCATGAATATTACAGCATCACTTAGAAACAAAAGCTTGGATCCAAACCTAATCCAACTGCTTGTTTAAAACGTCTGAATAAGGAAGAGACGGTTTGGTCTCTGACTGACCTTCCTGTTATGAGTTAACTGTGCTGCGTTTTCTCAGTGCTAAATGAGCAAAGCGCAAACAAAGCAGTCATAATCTTCCTAAGAACTTAGAGGGGACTATACAAACTGAATTAGCATTGGATTTACAAACACTGGAGCTGGATGGTTTCTTTTTCTCCAACATGACAAATACTTGACCTCCATTAAAGGCTCTGTTTTTATGACATCTCAGAGCTAAACGTCACTTAGAAAAACAAAACAAAGAGAAAATAAAGAGGCGATGAGGAGCGGTGTCATCTTCGTGTAACTGACCTACTATTCAAAGTGTTGCATAACCAGCTGCTGCCCTGCTGAACCCTGCGTAAAACACACATGCAGAAACAGGCAGGCTAACCCCTAAGCCACCTCCGTCTGTGTGTGAGCAGGGAGCCCCAGTGAACTCCACGTAACACCAAACACACACAGATCCAGAGAGAGAAACCATATGTGAGAAGGATGAGAGAGGAGGAGGTGGAGCAGAGAGATGGAGAGCAAAACCACATGTGGGGAAGATGGAGGGCACAAATGAAAGAGCAGAGATGGAAACAGACACCGAACAGCGAACGCGACAAATGGGAGGAGAGGCAGGGTGAGGAGAGAAGAGTGGAATGACAGGCTGCCGTGGAAAGGAAGTGCTCACATTTAGCCTTTTTGAATGACACCAATTTCTTTTGAACTATTTTTAGAAGGGGGTCATGTGGAAAAAATTAAAAGCATTCAGTATCCTATCTGCAATAGACAGATTTCTGTGTGATTTCAGTTTGAGGAATCATAGAAATGTTTGGATTAACGGATTCTCAGAGTTAAGATAACAGCTTTTCAAAGTTGAACTAACAGGAACTCAAACTCAAGCTAAAGTTTCAGAGTCCAGCTAACGACTTCTCAGAATTACGCTATAAAGTCAAGCTAACAAGCACTCAAACTCGAGCTGATGTCTTCTACGACAAGAGCTAAAAGCTTTTTATTTGCTAACAGGCACTCAACTTCAAGAAAACTTCAAGCTAACAGTTTCTCAGAGTTGAGCTATAAAGTCAAGCTAACAGGCACTCAAACACAGGCTAACAGCTTCTCAGTGTTGAGAAAATGGCTTCTCACAGTGGAACTAGCAGGCACGCAAACTCAAGATAACAGCCTCTTGGATTCAAGCTAAGGGCTTTATAAATCACATAGTTGAGCTAACAGGCAATCAAATCCAAGCTAGCGGCTTCTAAGAGTTCAGAAAAAAAGGCTGTTGGCAGTCTAACAGAGCTAACAGACACTCAAGTTAATGGCTTCCAAAGGTCAAGCTAACAGGTATTGAGCTAGCAGCTTCTAAAAGAAGTGTCAACTGCTTTTGAGAGTTGAGCTAACACTGTAGTTCAAGCTAATGGCTTTTGAAGCTAACAGAGTGAAGCTAACAGCTACTAGTCAAACATGGTGGTGGTGGTGGGATGATCAGGATCAGAATGGCTTGACATTATGATGGAACCATGAATTCTGCTCCCTAACACAACGTTCTGAAAGAAAATGTTGATTCAGAACATGCTAGCAAATTAGTCTGAAAGCACAAAGCAAAACTAAGACACTAAACATATTGCTGAAATAAATCAACGTTGCAAAGAAAAGTAGGTGAAGTATCTCATGAGTGATGTAAGAGTTATTAGCAGTTGTTGATGTTCCAGGGTGCAATAAGTTTTTCACATTGTTAGCTTTTCTTAGCTAATAAAGTACATCACAATTTGTTTACTCAGGTTATTGTCTGGTATCACTCGAGTTAAGAGTTTTCTTAAACGTAAACTTGAATCATTTCCTCCGTTTTTATGGCCGCTGTAAATCTAAGTGAGGAGGTCAAGGCTGCTACCAGAGTTATTCCCTAAAACAGGAAGTTTCCTGGATATTTGCTCTGTTTGGTTCAATCAGCCATCACAGGGAAGACGAATGCCTCTTTGTACTTCCTCCCCTCTCCTTGTTTTCCTCCCACCTTCATCCAACTCCCACTATCTGCTATCTGTTTTCTTCTCCTTCCCCGGTCCTCCCACTGCCTTGTTCCCCTCTCCTTGTCCTCAAGTTCACCCCGTTGTGGCCGAGGTTTGACCCGCTAATCCTCTCGCATAAACAAGTACAAACAGGCGTTCTGCGTCTGCACTCAGGAACAGGTACATGGCAGAAGACAAAAAGGAAAAAGATCGGTGTTAATCAGATACAGGAAGCTGAGCAGGACTTTTATGGCTGTGTGGATGCAGCTTCACAACAAAGAAAATGATACATTTGTGTTTATTTATTCCTAATTCATATCAATCATCCAACTGCTGCTGAATATAAAGAACAAGCTGTCAGTTTATCTTATTTTAATTATGTTTCAGGAGTATTTTACTGAGAAATGTCTCCTCAACTGGCAACCTTCCCAGCCGAGGTTGTTTGTCCAACCAGATTTTGGAGGACGTTGGCTGGTTCCCAACAGTCCAACTTTTCTCTCTTAACTCCAGTGCTTGGTTTTTACTGTTTCCAATGTCACTGTAAACCTTTTTAAATGTTTCCATTCTGTTCATCTGATTTTAATCTGTGCAATCCAGTCAAAGTTTATGGCATTAAATTAACACAGAGATAAATATTTATTCTGCTGGATGAACTGGATCGTTTGGTGGATTTGGGACCAAATTTGCAACATTTGTTACATTTTGTGGATTTCTTTCACACCAAACTCTTTTAAAAACCTGTTCCTCTCCTTGCCTGTGGTGGCGCTGCACCAGAATCCCCTGCACTTTAGTCCACTTCCTGCTTTTGGAGCGGTCTCTGGTCTGATTGCCGTTCTCACATACATTTGATTAATAACTTTCAAATACTTAAGTACTTCACAACCATAAAAATCTTGAAGTACTAATACAACTCACCTGATATCAGGTTAGGAGTTTTATATAAAGTATAATGAATGCACAACATTTCAGTAGTTTTGCCACTGGCCCAGTTTACTCCCATATTAATACAAAACTTTCTTTGTGATGAAAACCAAATCATTAAACATTGAGATAAACAGTTTGAGATTTTGCCAGTGTGAGGTCATCCAGAGGTCATCCAGAGGTCATCCAGTGATTCCCAGTTTGTCTCTAAAACTACTAGTAACCATTTGAAGCTTCTTTTTTTCTACCAGTCGGTGTGACACTACTGATGATTTAATTTAGTAATAAATCTTTGTTGCACTTCATAGTTTGGTAAATCAACTCTCTTCAGATTCATTTTATTTTAAACTAACGGTGTAATTTACTATGTAGCAAACTGAATAAGTTATCCTGACAATTACAGATGGTTTTTGGGATTTACACAAGCTGAAGGGAAGACAGATAAAAGGCATCCTGCAGTTGCTTTACAGGAAGCAACCCTGAAATGTCGTGTTAACACTCACCAGGAAAGAAGACCAACACCAAACCGCAGACTGATAAGCTGGCAGCACAGTTATAATATTTACATTTTTATCTTAAAATGTACTGCTGCCTTAACTCTGGGACACCAAATCAGTTCATCTCCTTTTGAAAACATGTGGCGTGTTGGAGCTGTTAGCGTGCTGAGCTCAAGCTAACAGGTTACAAATGCCCCATAAAGCACACATGAGAAACAGGCAACTTAATATGTCTTCAGGAGAAATAAAACACACAGCAAAGAGAGAGAAAATTAATAATTTACAGGCAGTCAAGAGCGTAACATGGTGTTGCATTCGTCACAATTAAACTGCACTAGTTCACAGTAAAATGCTAGCACTTTGCAACCATTTTCAAGGAAAGTTATCCAACTTTTGCAGCACCATACTTTGGAGATAGAAACACAAATTAGTACAATTACAGTTACAATTAAGTGCAGAGCTGGAAAATAAATCAATAACACATATTTCAACACATGATCAATATCAGTAGAATATTCAATATTTAACAGACAATATTCACTGCCCCCGATCCAAAGGGAAGACTTTAGCCGCTCAAACTGTCATGGAAAGTTGGAGAAATTACTAACTCTCTCTCTGGTTACCTAGCAACTCGCTCGTTCTGCGGTTACCTAGCAACGGCCTGCTGAGTGACTGGCACGGCAGCAGTTTCAGGTTTTCAGATTCTACACCAGGAAAAAGGTCGATTAAAATGTAACAAAATGATGTGTTCCGAATAGACTCTGCTCCAAAGCAATCCAGCAGGTCCAAACTGATCATAAAAATGACTGGTAGGATAATCGATAACTAAAATAATCAATAGTTCCAGCCCTGATTTCAACAGAAACAATTTCACCCCGAGATATTTACCAGATTCTACAAACTTAAAGTTGTGGAAACAACAAAATGTGTTTACAATTTCTAAATTCAGACAGCAGAAAAACACAAGCTCAGCATTTGGTCTAGTTTGTAGTCTAAATATCTCGGTAGACGTGAAATAAAACTAAAACTAACTTAGAAGTAGCTTTTCAGCAAAATATCCTTAATGTAAAGTACCACTGTAGGATTATTTCATATAAACCATAGGAAAAATTGTCTAGTAAATAAAATATTCTGCCAATGGAACGAGAAGCAATATTTTTATTTTAATCAAAGTACAATTATCTTATTGCACGTGAAATAAGAAAACTAGTTTACAAGTAAATTATCAGTGAGAAATAGGAAC